AAATTTTCGTAATTTGAAGCAAAGATCGTAATTTTTCTTTTTGAATGCTTAAGTATTCCAATATGCTACCAATTAAACATAGAACAATTTCAAAAGAATGCTTAACAACAAAGTTGAAATTGGATCTTCAGCTGTTAATATCTTCTAGAAATTTTTGAAAAAAAAAATTTCTATATTTTTCTCGTACTCCGCAAGGGAGCGTCTATCACCCCTTAAAAGGAATGACGCCAATTGTGAATCACCCTGTTGAGGGGAGCATGGCGACAACTATAAAGCTGTTTGCACGGGTTCAAATTTGACTCGAACTGCATTTCACACCGTGATGCAAAGTATATATATAATTTTTGTGAGATTAGATTTGACGACTTTTCGTCCTAAAGTGCTGTTCAATACGAAGTTCATTTACATCTGATCTTATAGTGTAACAGAAAGTAACACAATAACAAGAAAACAAGCTTGATGCCGATAATTAGAAAACCCGGGAATTCTACTCACCGTCATAATATTCATCGTCCTCTTCTTGGAAGTGATGATGTCTCATGGAAACATCGTCACCATCGCCCGGTCTATGTAGTTGTGGGATTAAATTGAGCCAGAGCGACATTTTATGTCCTCTGTAATGATTTTTTATTTCGGGCCGACTGCCTGGAAAAATAGATATACATTTTTAAAAGTTTAATAATAACAGCTTTATTTATGCAGCTATGTGTTGGAGAAAAATAAAATTAACACGTCTTTCTTAACTATAGCTTGAAAAAGTGCACTTATTTAGACATAGTTCACTACATCTCTCAATTTGTGCAGGTAAATTATTTCGAATTACTGAGTTTCTTGTTGTAGCCTCTGTACAGGATATTCAGAAAGACATTATGAGCTTCTAATTGGCGGATGATAAGTTATGGTTCATGTCAAACCTTATTGAAGAACATATTATACATTCTGAATGAATAAATTTAAAACTATAACTGTTTGTGTAAAACAAATGGGCGGATGTTTCTGATCACAAGCGAACGTATGGTGATTGCAATTGAAATTTCTCTATCGAGGGTTCGGAAAAGTGAAGGAATATGCATTCGGTCAAATTATGACATACTTAGATAGCTTAAAAATGTATCATTTGAAGTCTACTTGCAAAATAAAGAATCAACCAGATGATTGGAAAAATAATCTTTCCTGTTTAAAAAATTTGAAGAAATATGTTCAAAACAGCAGATTATTTTAATTATTTTTGATTATGTTCAGAATCAAATTTTGGAAAGTTTTCTCAAATTACGTAGCTTCGTAATTATTTTATTACATGTTATTTTTAAATTTTTCATTAAAAATGGACAATGATGATGACAGTAGAAATAATGATGATATATAATGGTTTCCAATCATAAAAACATAATTCTTAACTTGGTTAACTTAAAATAAAATATGCTAAAATCAAAAACAAAACATAGGTCAGAAGTAACTGCTTAAAGAACAAAACAATTGATAAGAAACTAGAATGATTAAAGAAAATATACGGTTTATATGTGAAAATGTTTAAAAATCTCATTTTAATTTAAAAATGAATTAACATATTTTTTGCAGGTGCTTTTTACCGAGTCTAGTTCTTCGCTCGTTTATGATAACATTAAATAATCGACAATGACAACAAACAGAAATGCGTGTATGGAAAACCTGGACGGAGTATTCCTCAAGTTAATTTTGGTACCACCAAAAAATAATTTAAAAAAAATGTCGACCTTACAACGTCTATTACTGTTCAAATAACTTTCATTTCACCTCTGACTGAATTTATATTTAAAAGTGGCCAGCTTGATTAAATGCAGGTGCACATTCTGCTTAAAACGTATGTTATTGTAAATTTTAACTGTGATGGAATTTATGTCTTAGACTCTTAGTTTGCTCATGGCTCATATGTAAGTGTACATTCTGCTTAGCTTGCTGGTAGTGGGCATATAACTCCCGAGTTAAATTCTTGTGAGGAATCCTTTTTTAAAGATTTATTACAGAATGTCAGAAAACTAAATACTTATAGACTAAAAATGCTGAATCATGGATAGATCATGGCAGCAACTAAACAAATTTTCGCTGCTCTGAACGACTATAGTTCCTGGAGAACTGAACAGTAATTCTTATAAACGAAAAGTGATAAACACAATCATCAAGGTAACGCCCAACCACATACAACATATTTTCCGTTGACAAATGGTTACTGAAACTGCTGGAACTGCATAGAGCGCTAGACGGTGCCGCATCGGTTTTGCGCTGACACGAAGCACTTTTTCAGGTTTATGAGACGGTCTTGGACATTATTTATTTCAGACAAATTTTACAATTTCTTACTGCTAACTTATATACGAGTCTTAATTCTAACATCTTTAGAAAATGAGACGGTTCCAAACACAACCGTTTAAATAGGCAAACTGCTGCAGCTGGTGCGAAGCGCGCACCACTGTTTCGGTTTTATGAGACGGTTCCAAAAACAACCGTTTAAATCAGCAAACTGCTGCATCTGAACTTGGGTTTTAACGAAACAGCAAAGGAAGAAGTCGAGTGAGATCAAAACTGGCGATCGTGCCGGCCAGGAAACTTTAATATAAGTTCCGATCGATTGTGCATTGTGCTCACGAGCTTCATCTTGTGGAGTCCAGCAATTTTGTACACTTTCTCGTGGTAGAATATCTAAATGCCCTAATTGAATTTCCGAAAAGTTAAGGTACCGTTCTGTGGTTAAAGTATGATGGTAAATAAATAGCCCCAATATTCAAATTTTCCTTCGTTTGTTGTTTTGTGAATTGTTTCCTGGCATAATGAGAAATTCTCATTATACAGTCTCTTTTTTTGCAATTTAGGAGGGGGTATCGCTTCGATGACTCACCCTGTATAGGGCAAATGCTTTTCGTTTGTGAAGAAAACCCGAGCTCATAACTTGGGAGAGTCAGTACAGTATTTCAGTAGACAAATATGCCGATTTTTCTGGGTATTTGGAACACAGAAATGCTTTTTGGTATATAAAATAGATCCCATAATAAAATAACTAAATAATGCATACTTTTTCCTTTCTCTCTTGTAGCCGTTACTCATTCAAATGGGTTTATAGCATTCCAATTCACACTTGTCGATTTGCATAAATATTTCGAAAGGCTCCAACCAGCTTAATGGGGAAAATTTAGTATTCAATAGAAATATCTTCCACAAATTCTCAACCCTTATTTTGATCCTGAGGCCAAAATTATCCAGGTTTCTGACTTTCGTACAGACGCAGGAAGCATATAAATGGATGAGGTGCTAAAGCAATAAATGTCGTGGATGTAGGATTCAGAGATAATATTTCTATGACCGATAATATTTCGGTTAAGCTAACACAGAGGGTGAAACACGTGAATTTTGTTAATTAACTTTAGACTAAGCTTTAATTTAAAATTTAATCCTTCATTTAGTGTCGTCTTTATGAACTCCTTTTCACTATTGTTCCCCGAGTTCAAGTTTAGACCATGTTATTTTCATTGACCCTTGGACTCTATTATGTGAAATTTTCCCCAACCCAATATGTTTCGTTTTACTGTCATGATTTGTCCCATATTTTCGTTGGTAACTCTTTTCATTCTTGAACCACTCGGCACCTTTCTTAAAAAATCTATTTATTTTTTTACAGATATTGCAGTTTTAACATTTATTCTGATAAGTCGACTGTTATATCGATCGACTGATTCAGATACTGAAGAACATAAACTAGAGACCAACCATCCAAAATTTTGATCTGCAAATATAGTTGTTAAACTCCCTAGACACCCTTAAAGATAAATAGTTTATTTCTATTAAACAAGGCGCTGATTTTTATAATTTATTTATTTATATAATTTTTGGCTTCTTTCATTTACATATTTTTCAATTAAAAAGTCCAACTCACAAGATTCTGAGGGAAATATTATGGATTGTTCCATTATTTTACCCAGAAAATTTGTTTTATTTGGCTGGTTTACCCATTCTACCAACAATTATCTATATAAATTCGCGTGACTCCAATTCACATCCTGAATTGCAATGTACTTTATCCGGCAAACTATACTGGAAATATTACCAAATTGAAAATGATTGGCCATGTTAAGAGCGTAATGTGATTAAGGGGTTTTAAGGCTTATTGCAAGTCAAAGCTTACTAGTATTTATAATATATCAAAAAGAAGCTTCACATGATTTTAATGGTTTGTCCTCAAAATACTCTTATGAATAATCGTTTTTTCTTGAACGATTTGGGCAATACCTGCTTTTAAATAATTTGGGACACTTTAAGAAACGTTACACTATATACTGAAAACAATTTTTAGAATTAATTATTCGGTTTGAAGCAGTATTCTGGATTCATTATATATTTTTCCAAGCATGGAAAGTCATAATTTTCGTCCAAAATATTTTACAGAATGCCCATAACTTCACAAATAAAATACTCTTGCAGTCGGTTTCGAATATTGCGACCTTTAGACCCTAAGTCTGTAACTATCATGACGAGTAAAATAATCGGAGGAAATATAGGATATGAAAAAACAGACGTGAAAAGAAAGGTATTCTGCATCTCACTTTCATTCATTTTCTATATCTACATCATACAGGTTGATTAACAACCTTATGGACAAAGAGCAGGGGCGTGTAAAGGCCATCAAAACAAGTCGACTTGCCATTTAAGTTTTTTGTCTCAGACCCATAGTTAACGAGATACAGGGTGTTAAACTTTTAAAAAAACATTGACATTTTCTCTTTTATTCATACAGTTTATAAGATATTATAAATATAAGCTCAAATTTTTTATGTGTAATTATTTTAACGTTTATTTTTTAACGTATTTTAATCTGGCAGTTTGTATGTATTAAGAAATATACCTTCGATCCTTGATTTGACTCGAGTTAGTTACGAGCCCATATATTCTAAGAGGAGACTGAAAAAAATATTTTTTTATAAGAATTTAGACATTTTTCATGTGAACATCCCAGCGAAACACACAAACTTATGGTTACTATCAGCTTTGAGACCCTTCTAACAAAAAACGTTAGTAGCTTTAATGCTTGATGTTAAAAAATAAGCAGTTGTTGAAGGCAATTTAATAAAAAAAGTAAAGGTTAGTGAAATTGTCTAGTCTACTGTTAAATACAAACAATAATTCCTTATAATAAATGCTTATTATCATCTATCATATATATTATCGTCTTATATTAACAATTTCACAATAATTTAACTTCTAACAGAACCCATTTCTCATCGTTGCTGAATTTATTATAATTACTTTGAAATTCAATTTATTAATCGTAAAAGAACGGTAACAAAAATAAAGACGTTTTAAGCAAACCATAGAAAAGATCTGCTATTGCGTAATTATTCACTTCTCAAACTTTTCCAATTTTACTAAGTAGCGGCATAAATTATGAATTAGAACTTGCTCGTAGTTTTCATATTTTAACGAGACAGCCGCACTTTATAAATACATTAAAATGTCATGCAAATATTATTATCCGAAAGTTGTCAGTTTAAGCGGCGTTACATTACAACTCTCGCTAAATTTCTTGGAATTATTGAGCAAAGAAAATAAATAAATGTTTATAACAAGGACCGTTTTTGACTAACATATTCAAAGCTTGAGATATTGCATATTCTTTCCTAGTATAAAACATTTGTTATCGTAAAACTTTTGTTTTCTCGAGTTCCAGATTTTCATAAATGCCTTTGTTTTTTCCAATTTGTAGAGATCGAAAGCATATTCCGAGGGTATTGGAATAAAAAAAACATGAATAGTGAGAATGAATTCAACTCTGCTTTACCCTTAAGATGAATGTGAACATTTTTAAGACAAAGTAATTTTTTGTATGTTCTTATTTACAATGAGTAATAGAATATGCAAAGGTATGTCATATCAAATCAATCCTGAAAGTTATGTAGAAATAACCATCCGTTTAGATTCCCGTTTATTATTTTTTGCCGTGTTTTGACACTGGATTGGGCTGGGGGGGCAGTTCGAATAGTAAATAAACATGAATATGAAACAATATTGTCAAGTTTTAGAGTACTTAAATCATTACGCATGGAGATAATTATATCTATGTATGCCAAGTACATTTTTTCTGTTGGTAGCTCATGCATCAACGAATTCCGTTGAGCAGTTTAATACTGCTATTAAAGCGCACGTATTGATATCTCAATATGCAATAATTCTCAGGATTGTCATCCATATTAAAGCTACGACAACTAAATTGTATAATGGAGGAGCACTTTCCAACTGCCGTGATTCATTAACCAGATTACTGCAGTGCCTTTAGGAGCGATTTTATTAGCTTCGTTTCGATTCCGGGATTTCAAGAATTTCTATAAATGGCAAAGACGACTTGATCTATTTAAAGCTGAATATTCCGATTTTGCTTTGAAAGGCAGAGCATAGCTCCATATTTTCATCAAAAATGTTTAGATATTTAGAGTTAACGAAGAAGAGCGTCAGGATATTCGAATGCTTTAAAATTTTTGCAATAATTGCACTAGCTGCAGTTAACGAGAGTCGATTAATTATATTGAATTGATAGCAGGACAACTAAGAATTTTTATATGCGAATGTGTGTGTATGCAACTAAAATTCATATTCTGCGGAATCATTGCTTTAATTGGGTATATCCACTGATTGAGCTGGCGTTTTAATACGTTTCGAATTTACTCAGAAGCTATAAGAACATTGCAAAGTTGAGCTAATGCATAATAAAACTAAAGCATTTATTAACCACCTACATTTATTCGTATTGCTTGAAACGCTGTAATAATGTCCCTCTACATTCGAAATGCTTTTAATAAAATCCTTTTGGGAGCAAGTTTCAGCAGTTTTGCTCCCAATAGCTCAATTAAATCTTAGTTAAGTGCGCTGTTAGAATTATTTGAAGAAGAAACGTTCTACTCGAGTAAGCATACTTGGGCTTTGTTATAATAATGGCTTAAAGTTATAACTTGGAATAAAAGCAAACCGTCATTGGCTCTTAGCTTAAATAGTCGATATCCTTAGTCCTTTATGTCCCAAAGAGTTACTCTACGCTGTCTAAAGAAATTGAAGGAATTAAATTAGTTTTAAAACTAGAGTTCTTGAACAATAACGTTCGGTAAACAGCATTAAATGCAACCGTGTTTTAAGTTGCAAATATTGTACTAGAAGGTTTGCATTTTAAATATATAAGTTTGAGTTGATGATCGAGTGAAATGTTATATTAGACCTAGTTATTTTACTTACCCATTTCCAAATAAAACTGATTTATCGTGTCGTAAGATTCCCAATAAGGCAATGTAGGTATTTCGTTCTCGTTTTGTGGTGGACTTTTCTGACCTGCAGCAGGAGTGTTTGGTACGGCTCCACCATTGGGATCTCTGTAAAAATTATACTTTAATTATAAAAAATACATACTAAAAATCTATCTCAATTTTTTCAACACCAAATTATCCCGATTTGTTTGAGTTGAGTTTAAGAATAATTGATTGGCTTTAATCGTTTTGGTCTTGCCAACACTGACTAAATGTGTCTTGATTTAAGTCTTGCTCGGGAACATGGATTGGCATTCAATCTTATATCTCACGTCCTGTAGTACTTTTTCGGTGTTTATACCAAAGATATTAATAAATAAGCAAAGCTAGTCATTCATAAATCCCTATTTGTTTGGGAGTAACACAAAATTCTACCGATCTGCGATTTATCAATGAAAAAGACGTGGTAATGATGAAAGTACTAAAAGTAGGCTCCGATCGATATATTGACAAACAGTAGAATTAATCCGAAAACCAACTCTCGCCTAGCCGCTACCTAAATGCGTAGTAAATAACTATTAATTAATTTGGTCTAAGCACGAAGTGTTCTTTGATTTTCTGACCTTTATCTCTACATCATATGTTTGAAATTAAAAATGATATAACAGTAACGCAAATTTTTAAGCATTTGGCTTCAATTCAATGGGGCTCGAATATGACTCTTGGCTTATATATTCAAAGCAACTTACGACACTGGTCCCTATTTCTAATAGTGCGAAACAATTCAGATCAGGAAAATTCAGGACGATTTTCCTGCAACTTAAACTGGTTCTCACCATTTCTTTTAAGTGTAACAGTATATACATATCACGATGATCACTCATTATCCTCAAAAACACGAGAAATTGCCGTATTTACGAGCCCAACAAGTCCACTTCCCCTTACTATAATTTTACTATCACATAGTCCCCTTAGTCACAGTTTTGTCATGATGAATGTTTCATTATGTTTTTTTGTAATTTCCAGCTTAAATTATAATTTATTCTCCTTTTGCTATGCATTTGCAAAAAACTCGTAAGAAATTTTTCTCATGCCTAAAAATGTACACGTAACTATTTACAACACTCTAGCATCTGTGTAAAGAACTGCTCTGACATGACTATAAAATGTGTGTAAAAACCCTATGAACATTTTAACCCGCGAATAATTCTATAAATGAACAGTAAGTCAGGAAACCGGATCTATCGCTGATTGGGACTTTTTGTCTGTTCCATTCATGTTTAAAGACTAAGGACACCACTTAGAAGTTGATGAAGTATTTTAATGCGGTGTGCAGGTGCCTCATTCTGTTAAAACTGAACATGAACACATCAGCATTTAACTATCAGTCCAAAGTCGTTTACAGAACCATTTTGCGCTTAGCAATTACCCCTCAGGTCAACCATTAACCAACAGCCTTTTAATACATTATCAATTTAGCTTTCTTTAAGTCTTGACCGCTAAAAATCTGATTTTCACAAATTTTATTGATAGTCCATAAAACTCGACAACGTTTATTTTGATTTCAGTAGTAGAACAACCAATGGCTGCCCGAAAGGTTTTTAGAAATTTTTAAGTTTTCGCAAATCGGTCATCTTTATCATCAATCAGCCCATCGCAGTCCACTGCTGGACGTAGGCCTCCCGTGACTGCTTCTACATTTGTCGGTCTTGCGCTGCTTGCATCCAATTAGTATGGATATATTTAATATCATCGGATCATCTTGCAGGTGGGTCTTTGCGTGAGGCTGTATTTAGGCGTTGTATCATCATTTCTGCTTGGTCGATGCTATCTGCAATAATGACTATGTCGTCCACAAATCTGAGATGAGAGAGGTATTTCCCATTTATGTTAATGCCTAGGTGTTGCAGATCAATAGATTTAAACATGTATTCGAGTAAGTTAGTCAAAAGTCGTGCGGAGATTGTATTCCCATGTCGAACACCTCTGGCTATTGCAAATCTTCCCGTATCGTTGTGGAGTCGGACAGATGCTGTGGCATTTTTGTACATGTGTCTGATGATTTTGGTATATCGGTGACCTACACGGCAATCAGCTAGTGATTTTAGGATTTCGTGTTGCCCCACAGAATCAAACGCCTTCTCATAATCTACGAACATTAGGAGGAGTGGCTTGTTATAATTTTCTTTATCATTTTCTCTATAAGGTTTTTTGGGCTTGAAGGTGGTCATTTGTGATCTAAATCCGGATAATTCTCTTGATTGGTATGATTTTCGCTTAATAGTGATTCTCTTCGTGATAATTTATGTGAACAGCTTAAATATATGTGACAGCAGGCTGATTGGTAGGTCGTTTTCAAGGTCGGTAATGTCTCCTTTTTTATGCAGGATGATGATTGTTGCTTTGTCCCATTATGAGGGCGTCAAGAGACATTCGGTGAAGACCACTTTGAGAAGACAATGTACTCCAACTTGAGAACTTGTATCCTCCCAGTTTGATTGAACTGTGTATGTTTCTTCAGCCTGTTGAGATTTTCTGCCTAAGTAATTTTAAGCTTTTGTTTGTCTCAATCGTTCTAGCCACCATATTCGTTTTAAATGTTCTGACGTCACTTCGTATGCCTTTCGAGATGTCTTTTCCTCGTCCCGTCGAGATCCTCAACTTTCTCAGGTCCGCACAGCTTTGTCCATATTTGCTTTTGAGCATTTATGAGTTTATCATCATGAAATTATTTTCGAATTATATGCATATTCCTATATTTAATTCCATTCATTCCTCCATTAGTTTTTTGGTGTTTTTGCTTAGTTCCTCTCTCGTTTGTTTATTACACTGTTTCTGTTCTGCCTGTTTTATTGCATTTGTGATCGATGCGTTTAGATCATCTGTGTTGATACTTCTGTTAGTCGCCGTTTGCTTTGCGTAAGAGTTATGCAAGCAGTTTTCTATTTATCCTGGATAAGAGTCGATGTTGTCGGGAGGTGTTAGTTGTTCACCGCTATTGTTTACAGAAACTTTTGTTTGGATCATTCTATGGTGGCTTCCTATGGCGAGCCTGTTCAGGCTGCTACGTTGTGAACTCTTTCTTATCTGTTTGTTATGATATAGTCTATCTCGTTCCTATCCATTTCCATTGTAGTATTTTGTCACAGAAAGAGTTCATTGAATAGATACAATTTTCTCGCAAGAAGCTGAGCAGTCGGCTTCCTCTCTGGTTACTTTCATCAAAGCCATGGGTGCCTAGTGAAGTTTTGGCTTCATCTTGTTTCCTTCCGAGTTTGGCATTGAAGTTGCCTATCAGTACAGTGTGATAGCTAGGTAGTATAGTTACTTAGTATTTTATTCCAATGTTTCATTGATGTTGTCATAGAAGGCATCCAGATCTTCTTCTGATGATGTTGACGTGTGGGCATACACCTGTATGATTTTCATATGGTGCCCAGTTTTAACGTTGTGTACATTACTCTCGGACTTATCATTTTAATTTCTATGAGATTTATCAGGCATCGATGTGGCAAGTTTTCAGTGTTATCTAGCTTTCTCCTCTTCTTCGAACTTGACTCAAGCCTACGATGTTCCATTTTAACTTATTAAGCGCTGTTTCTAGTTTAATTACTTTTGATCCGACAATAGGGTTCGTACGTTGTAAGACGCGATGTATAGTGTTCGTCTTCGCATATAGTCTAGTTTACTCCAGATATCCTTTGCACCCTCCGCTCGAGTCCTTGCCTGACCGCTGTCATCAGGGTATTTAGCTGTTTGTCCCTACCACGCTGGCTATTTTGAGATGATAGGGGGAAGGATGATAGAGGTGTGTATGAAATAGAGGGAGACCCCTAGCCCTCTAGTGCTCTGATAGCGCTGGAGTCGGAAGACTAAGAGTTGATCAAGAAAGATCTAAAAGGAAAGGTAAAAGAGATAGAGAAGTCTCTAGAAGAGAAAAGGAGATAGAACATTATTTACTAAAATTTTATTAAAATATCATGCATTTGTAAAATCCTCACAATTAGTTTTCTGGAATTTGAAATGTGCTTAAATGTGTGTGCTTGCAAAATAGAAGCGCATAGCAAAATGTAATACTCAGTAGTGTGCATACTTAATTAGTTATTTATTTAACTTAACTTTAAACTCAAATCAAAATCATTAATTTTTTTTGCAAGTTAGTAAAATACAAACCAACTTTCGTATTTTATTTCTTCTACACATTTGACAATCAAATCTGATTTTTGAATCTTTTACCTACAAAAAAAAACACCCTTTTCAAAATCCTGGGACAATTTCTTTTTGTGGTTGTTCATTAGTATAATCTTGCATAATCTTGCCTACGCTCTTGTACTACTCTTGGTACGTTTTGATCCAAAAAACGCCGTTCTAAAAGCTGCGCAGTAAGTTCAATTACCAAATTTTTTAAATATATTTTTCTTGTTACTGAATATTGTCTATTAATCGAAGCGTCAATTATCTGCTAATTTACGCCAGTCGTATTTAATTAGACATAAAAAATGGCAATCGGCCAACGACTGATGTTTCTTGCTACGTTAAAAATAGCAGATTACTTATCCAAATCGTCAACGCCGCCTTCAGTTCCATTGCACTCGTAATATGTAACTTTTTTCGTTAAATTAAATGTAACTTGGTTGCACTGTAATGGCATCATCATGGAGTACCGATGAAGCTAAAATTACATTTCCATATTTTTTCGAACATTGTTGCTCTATCTCTTTTAAAGTTCTGTGCTACGTTGGCAATGTATAGGTTCGTGTTATCAACAATGTTTCGTAGCATATGGTCAGTAAAAAAGTGACCAACACTGAAGCTGGTTGAGCGTTTTGCGCGTAATTTCTTCCTCCAGAACGCGAATGATAATATTTTATTGCATCGTTCTCTTGTTTTCTTTGCAAAATGTTTTCGCCACTTTGTTCTTTTGTTTTTTCAACAAAACATAGAGTTCTGAAAACTTTCCGGGGGGCATTATCTTCAAAATCTTCATCACCATGCTGCTCAGCCTGGTTGTCGGTACATTTTGTTTCAAAAAACAACACATTTCATCTTCGGAAGCCAGTTTTTCTTCCTCATTATCAGGTCCATCTACTGGATCTTGCTCTTCCCATAGTAGACGCAATTTTTCT